ATATCCATGCTGTTTATACTTGGTGCTGCTGGTTGAGCTCTGCATAGTCTGCATGCCTCGCCTCTTCATGCTATCCAGAGAAGTAACTCTGTCTGTTTTTTTTGGTCTTTTTATAAACCTTTGTTGCTGAGTGGCCCTCTAACCAACCTTGATTTCACACTTTGGCACCACATTACACCAATCTGATCTAGCATTTATACAGCTAATATCTTTCTCTTTAATGCTAACTTTTGTCAATATGGATTCTCACATAATCCATAGGGTCTGTGTTAAAAGAAATAACATTGCCTATCTAATGGCAGTGTAAAGAGGTAATCAGCATTGTTGTTTCTTGTTCTATTAATCTGATTGATACCTTCCTTCTACTGTTCTACTTTATCTGTGATGCTTTTGTTATTGTTTGTCGTAATTAATTGTAATATGGCAATTTGTCTGTATTATGGGCTTTATAAAAATGGCTACTCTATTCATCCCATGCTAATAGACTATCCTCTCACTGCTAAGTGGTTCTGCTTTTCAATTTTCTGCCCATAAACATCAATTAAAAAACAGCTGAAAAGCCTCTGTAAGCTCCAACCTTGTTAGCTAAAACACTCTGTGAGTCATAGCTGCTTCTCAGGGTCTGACAAGAATCAAAATGGTTCTGCACATAAAGTATTTTAAATAACATAAACTAATCTGATCAGGTGCCAAGTAGGCGTTGAGAATATAGTTACTGTTATTTATGTTTGCAATTATATTTGTTGGCATTATTTAGCTGAAGGCATTAACAATGTGAGTGATAACTTGAAAGAAATGCATTTACCCCTTTTAATAACCCAAAAAGGTTATATATATCTCTTAAATACAGTGTATGGTATAATTAAGCCCATGGATTATTAAACAGTCAATTTTCAACACATTTCATAAAAGCCTCAAATTTTTTTTGAATGTCTTGTCAGAAGTGGGTAAAGTAGCCAAAAGATTAAATTGTTAAAATAAAAAGATGAGCTGAAATATATAAGATTTTTTACACTAGAAATATTTTTACTCAGAGAGTGTAGATGATGAGAGAGGCATGGCTCTATATCCTTTTGTTTTTGTATATTTTTTCTTCAGTAAAATATTTCCAGACTTTTTTAATCAGATGCCGAAGCTGCTTGTGTTCCCCAAATAATGTTAAAGAAGTTTAAAAAAATTCCTATATCCGTTATTATTGAGATCACCAAAATGGATGAGCTGTTCCTTGGTATGAGGCACACCTCTAGTAAAAATGTCATTGAAATCTGTTCATAACTTTTTGAGTAATCCTGCTAACAGACAGACAGACAAACATAACCACAAAAAAAACAAAAACAAAGATATCGGATTCAGGAAGAAGAAATATATATATATATATATATATATATATATATATTTATATATATATATATATATATATATATATATAT